TTGTGATGCCTGCCTGGCGCTGGCTGGCGCATCGCTGCGGCCGCGCTAGCGAGCGCAGGCTCGCGCGCAGAGCGGCCAGCTAGTCGGGCGCGACTGTCGCGGCCGCAGTGACGCTGACCGCTGGAGACTTCCCAGCGCGTCTCGCAGACCGCGTTGACGCGCGGGCACTGCAGAACGTGTCGGGAGCTCGGGCGGGCGCGGTATCATGGCGACGTCGGCAAGGGCAGGCACGACGATGAGTTCAGCGATGCTATTGACGACGATGATGCCGGCAATGCACGTGTTGGCGCCGATGGTGGTCACGCCGGTGACGATGATTATGTCCACGCGTCGGTGATGAAGGTTTTGGGATCGTTTCGGCATGCGCGCGAGGCCGACGGGCGCGAGTGGCCCGCATGGTATTCTTGACGGGTCGCGCCTTTCCCTCAGCATGCGCGCCAGGGTGTTTGAATGATTGTGACATGCGTGTGCGAGTTTGGTCGCACATCTGAAGGAGTCGCAAGAGCTCGCGCGCAGCTTCTCTGAACACTGCTGTTCCACAGCCATGGCTTATCAAATCTGGGTTCGGGGCACTCCGCTGTGATATCATTGTGGAACTCACGTTTTGTTTGAAGGGTTTCGTCACGCGTGCGCGACAGCGCGCGCGTGAGCGCTTTGCTTCATGATTTGCAACAAGGGCATTGGGACATTGATGAGTTATGATAAACGAGTGCGCGCGCATCGGTTTTCTTTGCAAAGGGATGTGTATGCGTGTGTATGGGGGGGGGTCGATCCAGCTTTTGGCTGGGATGGTATGAATTCATATTTCGACTGAACCATTGGGGCAACATCATATGTAATTTGCACGTCGCCAGGGAGGGAAAATCCAGCCTCGGGAGGGTGGTGGAACTTAATCTTTTGTTAATCAGGAAAGGGCTGCCTATGTGGTGCAGTCTACGTGCTGCAATATATGTGGTGCAACTCGCCCTGCCCAGTTTGAAGTTGACAGCTCCACTGCTCGCGCAATCGTCCAACCCGCCCACCCGCAAATTGATTTGCAAAACCCATGCGGTCGCGATTGCGATGAACGGCTTGACGCTGGCTGGCACGTCGCTGCGGTCGCGCTAGCGCTCGCAGGCTCGCGCGCAAAGCGGCCAGTCAGTCTTGCGCGACCGTCGCGGCCGCGGTGGCGCTGACCGCTGGAGACTTCCCAGCGCGTCTCGCAGGCCGCGCTGACGCATGGGCACTTCAGTGCGAGTCGGGAACCCGGGCGGGCGCGGTGTCAGGGCCACGCCGACGACGACAGGCGCGACGTTGATAGTTGAGGTGCTGGTGGAATCGGTGATAAAGATAGCGGCGCGGTCAATGGCGGAGCCGATGCTGACCACACCAGTCACGACGATGGTCTCCGCATGCCTGTTTCGAAGGGATGCGGAGGATGCCGACCTGCGCGCACGGCCGACGCGGGCGAGTGGCCTTCATGGTTTTCGTTTGACAGGAATCGTGCCCCCCCCCTCTCCCCAGCGCGCGTGAGGGCGTTTGAATGATTTCGACATGAGCGCTCGACAGGCCTGTTCTACAAAAGCCGCAAGAGCCCTCCATGTTGCAACGCCAGCCGCACATTCCTAAATGTATTCGCGAATCTCGCTTCCGACATCCGTGCGACACCTACGATTCCCGAGCGTTTCGGCACGCGCGCGCGACGGCGCGCGCGTGCGCTTCGTTTAAATTTTGGTTGAATGGTTCTCGCAAGTGGATGATTGTTGATCAACGAGTGAGGCGCGCGTCGTATTGTTTGGCGAAAATTAAGCGGGGGTGGGGGTGCTGGTTTGTCCCGGATGACATGGGCTCGTGTTGAGAATGAGCGGTGGTGCGTACTCGGACGCACATGGCTCACCCCCAAAGGGAGAAGAAAAACAAATGGCCCGATAAGTTCGGGGGGAGGGTGGCAGATCCGAATTTAATCCCCGAAAAAAAGAATTACTTGTTCGCGCAAGCATTCCACCCACCCGCCCGCATCTTGGCTTCCAGACCCCCTGCGGCGGCGATTGCGATGACTGCTCGGCGCTGGTGGGCGCTTCGTCGCGGCCGCGCTCGCGCGCGCAAGCTCGCGCGCAGAGCGGCCAACTAGTCGGGCGCGACCGACGCGGACGTCGTGGCGCTGACCGCTGGAGACTTTTCAGCGCTTCTCGCCGGCTGCTCTGACTCGCGGGCACTGCAGTGCGAGTCGGTGTCGCGGGCGGATTCGAAGTCAAAGCGACGACGGCAGCGGCAGACACGATGATGATAATTGCGTCGCTGGTGGCGATGTTGACGATGGCGGCGGCAAAGGCAATGACGGCGCCGATGTTGGTCACGCCCGTGACGATGATGGTGTCCACGTGTGAACGATGAAGGTGTTGGACACATTTCGGCTTGCGCGCGCGGCCCACGCGGGCGAGTACCCCGCATGCTGGTATTTGACACGGGTCGTGCGTCCCCCAGTCAGCACGCAATGGCGTTCGGAAGATTTCGCGCGCGCGCCCAAGACCCGCTTGGTCGCGCAACTGTTGAAGCACACGCGTGGTTCCCCCGAGAATTCGCAAGGTCGCGCGGGCATATTTGTTTCAGCAATCTTGGTGCCCAACCAGTGCTTCAATTTTTTGTTCGGGAACCTCGACCCGGACATCGTTCCAGCATCTATTTTTCATTGTTGTGGAAACTGTTCGGCACGCGCGCAAAACGGCGCGCGCATGTGGGTGTAACTTCATACTTTGCATAATGGTGTTTGGAAAGTGATGGTTTGTTATTTGCGAGCACGCACGTATCATCTGACAGGGATGAGGAGGCATGCAGATACTGGCTGGGTTGTTATGGTATGGCCTCATCGTGCAAATGGGCGGTGGGGCAGAATCGCATGCACACTATTTCATTCCAGGGGGAACGGATCGTCCCGGTGGGTGGTGGCGGGGGGGGCGTACACAGTTTGTTATACGGGCTATAACCGACGTGGTGCAATTCATGTTTTGTCGCATTGACATGTCAACTCCACCGTTCGGTGCAAGCGCCCCACCCGCCCACCCGCAAATTGGTTTGCAAAACCCATGCGGCGGCGATTGCGGTGACTGCTGCGCGCTGGTTGGCGCTTCGCCGCGGCCACGCGGGCGCGCGCAAACTCGCGCGCAGTGCGGGTAGCTAACGTGGCGTGAATGACGCGGACGCGGTTGCGCTGACCGCTGGAGACCACCCAGCGCGTCTCGCAAGCCGCGCTGACGCGCGGGCATTGCAGTGCGAGTCGGTGACGCGGGCGGGTGCGATGTCGAGGAGACGTCGGCAACGGCAGACGCGACGATGATAGCAGCGATGTGGGCGGCGATGTTGGCGATGACGACGGCAGCGCCAATGACGGTACCGATGCTGACCACGCCGATGACGATGATGGTGTCAACGTGTTGGCGATGCGGACTTCGGAACGACGTCGACATGCGCGCGCGGCCGACGGGCGCAAATGGCCCGCATGGTACTTGTTGACAGGGGTCGTGCCCCCCACCCACAGGCACCCCCCCAGCGAGCGCACAAACGCGTTCGCGTGATTCCGACATGCGCGCGCGGTCGACGGGCGCGACTGGGCCCGCATGGCGCTAGTTGACAGGGGTCGTGCCCCCCCGTTCCCCCCCGCCCCGCCCCCCCTCCCGGCAAGCGCACAAAAATTGTCGCGTGATTTCGACACGCGCGCGCGAAAAGGCCCGTTTGGCCGGATTTGGCGAACATGCTGAAACAACATGATGGTCCCCATGAGAATGCGCATGGGCGAGCGCGCAGACTTGTTTGAGACACCGCGTTGCAACATCATCGTTTTCTTGTTCCAAAAAACAAGGAACTTGAACATCGGTGTTGCAATCCTACGAACACGAAACAAGGATTGAAACATATCGGGTTTTGTTCTGGGTTCCGCGCCCCCAACAAACGCGCAAGGGGGTTCGAATGAAGAAAGGCCCGCTTAGTCGCGTTTGATGAATCTGTTGTGGTGCTTGAAAAAATTCGCAAAAGCGGGCGCCCAGATATATCGGGGAAAACGAATGTTGCGAAACTGTTGTTTTTTGTATTACTAAGTTTCCTGGAAACCGTTTTTGAATCCCGTGCGACACCGAAGGTTTTTGAATAATTGTAGCATGCGTGCGCGAAGACGCGCGTGTGTCGTTTCTTTGTTTCGTTTCACCAGGGAATTGTTTGTAGAAGCCTGTGCGCTGAATATTTTTTGACAACGATCAGGGGGGTGTCGATACCAGCTGGGGTAATATGGTCTGGAAACATATGTAAAATGAACGATGGGGCAGAATCATATGCAAACCGTATTGTCCCAAAGAGGGGTTGTAGATCCCAATTGTTCCAGAACGCAACAACTGTGCGGAGCAACCTATGTTGTGGATCTGTGTGGTGCGACGGGGCTTCGACGGGGTGCGACAGCGGCAACATGGCCGCCAGAGTGGCAGACGGGCCCAGACGACGGGTGGCGATGCGGCGGCGACGGGGCGAGGCGGCGACGGGGCGGCGACGGCGGCAACATAGCTGCCAGATCGGCAGAGAGGCCCAGACGACGGGTGACGACGAGGCGGCGACGGGGCGGCGACGGCGGCAACATAGCCGCCGAACCCGCAGACAGGCCCATACGACGAGTGGCGCCGAGGCGGCGATGGGGCGGCCGCGGCGGCAACGTAGCCGCCAGACAGGCAGATAGGCGCAGTTCCTTGGAGGAGAAGCGAGAACACCTAAGTGCAAGCAGGAGGAGGAGGAGGTGGAGGAGGAGGCATTGTCTGGGGAACGACTCGGAGGTCCTCGCGGATTCCTCGGATCGGCGTTGGACCACCTCCGTGGCGCGCGGAGTGCGCCAGGTGCGGCGCCGGAAGCGGCGCCCAGGGGGAGCACCAGAGCCGATCCGAGGAATCCGGGCAGGCCTCAGAGGTTTGATGCTTATGTTTTGTATGTCTCCCTGCCCCTGCATCCTCCCGATCCGCGTTTCGGGTTGCCCCGCCCTTTCGAAGGCTGCTGCGGGCCATCTTCAGGCTGCACCCGGCCCTCAAGGATGTCAGCGTGTACGACGGGTTGGCCGACGATCCGGACGTGGTCGTCTTAGAGCTCCTCATCCTCCTCTTTCTTTTCATATCCCTCATCATCCTGCTCCTCCTCGTTTTCTTCCGCTCCTTCTTTTCCTCTTCGTGGTTGCCTCCGCTTCCTTCTCCCTCCTTTCTATCCTCGTTCCTGGCTCACGCATGGCCATCCATCCCAAGTAGGTCTCTCTCCTTCTCATATCTCCTCCTCTTCATTCCCTCAATCCCTCCTCCCTCCCTCCCTCCTCCTTCGTTCCTCCTCCATCAGTCCTTCTTTTCCTCCTCCTCCTCCTCCTCCTTCATCACTCCTCTTCCTCCTCCTCCTCCTCATCATCATCATCATCCTCATCCTCCTCTCCTCCCTCCCCCCCCTTCTCCTCTCTCCTCCCCCCGCTGTATTCTCCCCCTCCCTCTTCTGCCCTCGTCATCGCTCGTCCCGCCTCCTCCGTTCTCTATCTTCCTCCCTCCTCGTCCTCCCCCCGTTCTTCTCATCACCGCTTTCAGCGTCATGGCTCTCCGGCTGGCGTGCTGCTCGGTCCATCGCGCAGCGGCCGCGGGCGGCACAGGCAGCACCGCGGCGGCGCGCCGTGGTTGTGGGCCTCCCTCGGAGCGGGGGGGGGGTCGATAGGGGGGAGCGAGGCGGAGGATGGCAACATGCTTGTTCGGCGTGTGTGCTCTCCGGGCAGGCGCTGCATGTTTGGGCGGCGGGTGGGGCAGATCGTCGTGCGCACCTCCTGCCGCGCGCGCGCCCGCCCTCCTCCTGCTGCGCGCGCGCTCGCGCCACGAGACCTGACCTCTCTTGTGCCGCAGCGGCTGCGGCGGGAGGGTGATAATGATACGCCACGGCCACGCCCATCCCTGCCAATCACAGATTCAACTCACCGCTACAGGTCTTTAGTTTTAGCCCCCCCTTTTCTCTCGACGGTGACTAGAACTGGTCCTAAAACCTCCTCCTCCTCCTCCTCCTCCTCCCTCTTCCTCCTCATCCTCCTCCTCCTCCTTCCTCCTGGGAGCGCTGCTGAGGCATAAGTAGTAGTAGTCGTAGTCGTAGTCGTAGTTGTAGTCGCAATCGTAGTCGTAGCTGTCGTCGTCGTCGTCGTCGTCGTAGTTGCGCGGCGGGTGCCGCGGACAAAAATAATTAGTTACCCCCTATTGGTGGGACCCCAGTCCTTCAATAAGGCCACCGAACAAATAATTAGTTAGCCCCTGGGCTACAATAGCGCATCGATGAATCAACCACGGGGGCAGATAAGCCATCGTTAAACCCCTGACCTGAATGCTCGTCGGTCGAATGTTCGGACACCGATGCACTAGGCGCAACTTGCCTTGCCAGCTCGGCGACCCCGAGTGTGGGTATTGAGGCAGACAGCGCGCAGCGTGAGAAAGCTGCATGTGCCTCCGATCGGTATCGGGCTGCCGAAGCAACTCGGCAGGCTGCGCAGTGGAAGCTCAGCGCACCCGGTCACCACCGTCTAAGGTAGCACACTCAGCAACTGTGGATCAATCACCGCCAAGATAGAAGAGCTGTTGTTGCAGCTGGTGAGTACCAACTTGACCACTGTCAAGACGATCTAAGTGCTGCTGTGTGAGGTTCTATTAGTGCAGATGTCGTCGCTCCTGTTGGCGTTGCTGTCGGTGCAGCGGTGTTTGCGCCTGCTCGATCAGCCAACGGTGCACTTGTCGACTTGCCAGTCGGGGCAGCTGTCGATGCAGATGTCGGCGCACATGTCTGCGTGGCTGCCAGAGTGAATGTCGAAGATGGTGTCGGTACAGTTGTTGGCCCCGCGTTTGGAGATGTTGGTGCAGTTGTGGGCGCGCTTGTCGGTGTAGATGTCGGCGTTCCTGTTGGCTTCGCTGTCGGTGCAGCTGTGGCCGCGATTGCTGCTTGCTGGTGCAACCCCACATGCCGTTGGCGTCGTTGCCGGTACAGACGTCGGTGCATCTGGTGGCGCGGCTACAGAGGCGAATGTCGAAGGTCGCAGATGGTATCCGTGCAGCTGTCGGCGCTTCAGTCGGTGTTACCAGTGCAGCTGAGGGCGTGCATGCGCTGTGAAGGATATCGGCGCTCCTGTCGGCGTTGCTGTCGGTGCAGCAATGGACTCGTTTGTTGGTGCAGCCGTCGGCGCACCTGTCGGCGTTGTCGTCGGGGTACGAAGCTGTCGGCGTAGACGTCGGCATACCTGTCGGCGCGACCGTCGGAATTGATGTCGAATGCGCTGTCGGAGCAGGTGTCCGCGCAGCAGTCGGGGGCCCCGATGCAGGTCAGGAGCATGCTGGCGCTTCCGTCAGCGTCGCGGGTTGTCCAGTGGTGGCCGCGATTGAGCCGTCCTGTAGGAGGGGCATGCCAGCGCTTCCGTCAGCGTCGCGGGTTGTCCAGTGGTGGTCGCGATTGAGCCGTCCTGTAGGAGGGGCATGCCAGCGCTTCCGTCAGCGTCGCGGGTTGTCCAGTGGTGGCCGCGATTGAGCCGTCCTGTAGGAGGGGCATGCCGGCGCTTCCGTCAGCGTCGCGGGTTGTGCAGTGGTGGACGCGATTGATGGTGCAGCCGTCGGTGCACCTGTCGGCCTGCCAGTCGAGATAGCTGTCGGTGCAGACGTCGGCGCGGCCGTTTGGGCGAAGGCCGAAGGTGTTGAGGGTGCAGCTGTCGGCATACACTGTCAGAGATACAGGGACAGATGTATGGGTGTGCGTTGCTGCAGCAGCTGATGGCGCTCCTCCTCCCCCTGCTCCTCCTCCTCCTTGTCCTCCCTTGCCCTCGACATCATCCGTCCTCCCTCCTCACCTCTCTCTCGTCATCATTGCCATCATCGGCCTCATCGCCATCCTTCCTCGATCCTCTTTCCACCTCCTCCTTCCCCTTCATCACCGTTCCCATCATCATGGATCGTCGGCCGTCGTGCTGATCGGTCGATCGCGGCCGTGGCCGCGCGTGGCCGCGGCGGCGCGGCCAGCGTTGCCAGCAGCCTGTAGCGCCGACGGCGGGGACGCAGCGACGATGACCAGAGGCAGCCCAAGGAGGGGGGCGGGTCCAAACTTCCCCCCGCCCCGCGCCGGCGCCTGCGCCAGCGCTGGCGGCAGCCAGCAGCGCCGACGGCGGGGACACAGCGACGATTACCACCACTACCACCACCACCACCACCACCTCAACCCACCACCACCACCAGACCACCACCCAACCAACACCACCACCACCAGCAGCAAACACCACCACCAGCACCACAATTCACCACCACCACCACCACAAACACCCACCACCACTACCACCACAACCACCACCATAATCTACCACACCACCACCACCGCCACAACCACCACCACCACCAGCACAACCCATCACCACCACCACCAACGACCATACCACCACCACCGCCACCACCACCACCAGCACCACCTCCACAAACCACCGCCACCACCACAACCCACCACCACCATCACCACAAACCACCACTACACCACAACCAAACCACCACCACCACCATAATCTACCACACCACCACCACCGCCACAACCACCACCACAGCACAACCCACCACCACCACCACAAACCACCACACCACCACCACCACCACCGCCACCACCACCACCACCACCACCACCAGCACCACCTCCACAAACCACCGCCACCACCACAACCCACCACCACCATCACCACAAACCACCACTACACCACAACCAAACCACCACCACCACCACAAACCACCACCACAGACCACCACCACACCACCACCAAACCACCACAACAACCACCACCACCACCACCACCCACCACCACAACCACCACCACCACAACAGACCACTCCACCACCACCACATCACCACCACCGCCACCACCACCACAACCCACCACCACCACAAACCACCACACCACACCACCACCACCACCACTTCCACCAGCCACCACAACCACCGCCATCACAACAAGCCACCACCACCACCACAACCACCACCACCACAACCCACCACCACCACCACAACCGCAACCACCACCACAACCACCACGACAAACCACCACACCACAACCGCTACCGCCACCACCACCTTAAACCCTCCACCGCCACAACTACCAGCACCACCACCACCAGAAACCACCGGACCACCACCACCGCCACCGTCACCACCACCGCCACAACCTGCCACCATAACCACCACAACAACCACCAACACCATTAATCATCACCACCACCACCACCACCATCGCCAGAACCACCACCACAACCACCACGACAGCCCACCACCACCACCACCACCACTCCACCACTACCGCCACCACCACCACCACCACCACCACCACCACCACCACATCAGAGAGGCCCCAAGAGACGCCCAAGAGGCGACCAGGAGGCAGCACAAATGCCCTGCAGAGGCCCCCGAGGGCCCTCCGACGAGACCCCAAGAGGCATCCATTAGGACTCTGACCCAAAATCAAAGCACGGTGGCGGAGCGTCGTAGTCGTCGTCGTCATCGTCGTCGCCGTCGTCCCCGCCGCCCGCCGCCGCAGGCGCCGGCGCCGGCCCAGAAAAGGAAGTCATCGTCCCCGCCGCCGCCAGCAGCCGCCGACGCAGGCGCTGGCCCGAGGAGAGGGAGAGGGAGGGGAGGGGGGGGGGGTCGAACCCCCCCCTTCGTCACGGGAGGGAGGGGGGGGGTCCCGGTTCTAACCTCCCCCCCCCGTCTTCCCCCCCCTTCGCAAACGACGACAGAACGCGCTCTTTCTTAAACTTGGAGGGCCATGTTTAAGCACCCTGGAAGGTCAGGGCTTTGGCGCTCTGCGCAGTTGTCTTGGATCTGGGCCAGGGCACCCCTGGCGGCGCCTCCACGCCACCCCTGGCGCGCTCCGCGCGCCAGGGAACAGGGCCCAGCGCGGATCCAAAAAATCCGCGCGGACCAGCGAAAGTTTCTGTTTGTGCCGTCTTTTGTTTTTCTATCGACGCCGATCTCACGGATCCCCTCAGTATCTGAGGGCGCATCCCCATGATTGTCGTTGCAGTTGGGCTTGCCACTCTTAGCTATATGGCCCCCCCCCACGCCCCGACGTGCCAACCACCACGCCCCAGCGTTGCCCTTGCCTGAGGCCCCAAGACCGCACCCTCTAATTATACCCGATCTGGTGACCCCCGGTAACCTGGTGACCCCCGGTGACCTTGGTGACACCCCGTGACCCTCGGTGACTCCATATTCTGTGCCCCTCAATAGTTTTGGGGGCACCTGTTGTCCGGAGAGGGTAGCTGTAGTTCGGGGGAGGGGTACCTGTAGTCCGTGGTGGGGGGTACCTGTAGTCCAGGGTGGGGTACTTGTAGTCGAGGGGAAGGGTACATGTAGTCCGCGGGGGTTGCCTGCAGTCTAGGGGGGAACGCGCTTTAACGCGTCAGCGCGCGCGCGTGAATGTATTCCAGTGGGGGTACCTGCAGTCCAGGGGGGGTGCCTGTAGTCCCGGGAGGGTACCTGTAGTCGGGAGGGGGACCTGTAGTCTGGGGGAGGGGTACCTGTAGTTCGGGGGGGGGGGTACCTGCAGTCCGGGGGGTACCTGTTGCGACACTGAGCACAGACCCAGAGTGCCGAATCAATCGACCCGGAGGCTTCTCGCAGCCTTTGGCTTCCTGGGGGCTCTCGCGACTCAGGACGGAAAGCCGGTCCCGGCGAAGGGGTCCAGACCTTTTTGGGAGGGCCGCACGGAACGTCGGATCTCGGGGGCCCCCAGGCTCCCCCGGCAGGGCAGGTTCGGCAGCGCGCGCGCGCGGCGGCACCGCCCGCGAGCTCCGCAGCGGGGGCGTCCGGGCGCGCGGGCTGGCGCGGCCCGCGGGGGCAGCCGCTCAGGCGCCGAGGGCCGTGAGGCGAGGCCTCGTCGCCGTCCCGCCCCCCTGGTTCGTGCCTCCTCTCCGCCTCCCGGGAGCCGAGAGGCCAGCCCAAGCAGTGACGGCGCAGTGCCCCGCTGCATCGTCCAGCCGACCGCCCCCCCCCCCCCCTCTTCCCCCCTGACCTTCCAGAGTGCGAGAGAGTGGCCCTCCAGACCTAAGGACTTCGCTGGACTGCTTAAAAGCCTCGACAGGAGTTTGGGCGTCATGGTCCAGGTGTTATTTTGTAGCCCTCCTGGAGGGTCAGGGCCCCCAGCCCCGTCCTCCTTGGTCCGTTCTTCCGTAATTTGATTCTCGCGAGGTAGATAGACAGACTGAATTGAACCACCAGGCCGTTAGAAGGCAGTTTTATTTCCGCGGGTGAGGATATTTCGGTGGCAGTTTTAAGCCAGCAGGTGAGGACGGGTGAGGATATTTCTGTGGCAGTTTTAAGTCAGCGGGTGAGGATATTTCGGCGGCAGTTTAAGCGAGCGGGTGAGGATATTTCGGTGGCAGTTTTAAGCCAGCGGGTGAGAATATTTCGGTGGCAGTTTTATTTGAGCGGGTGAGGATATTTCGGCGGCAGTTTTCAGCCAGCGGCTGAGGATATTTCGGTGGCAGTTTTAAGCCAGCGGGTGAGAATATGCCGGTGGCAGTTTTACTTCCGCGGGTGAGGATATTTCGGTGGCAGTTTTCAGCCAGCGGGTGAGGATATTTCGGTGGCAGTTCTAAGCCAACGGGTGAGAATATGTCGGTGGCAGTTTTACTTCAGCGGGTGAGGATACTTCGGTGGCAGTTTTAAGCCCGCGGGGGAGGAGGAGGAGGAGGAGGAGGAGGAGGAGGAGGAGGAGGAGGAGGAGGAGGAGGAGGAGGGAGGAACCGAGAAGAGCTGTGCTCGGCGCGGGCATCCAGCCGCCACGCGATGCGTCATGCGCTTGGTTGTCCCAGCCGACGGCTACGCATCCAGCGCGGTGCTGCGCCCGTGTATATGCTCGCCCCTTGGCGTGGGGCTGGCGGGGGGCCATGGCGACCAAGGGGCGAGCTGTCCGGTGATTTTTCTCGTCCCCATCCCTCCTGCCACATCCCTCCTCCATCCCCTCCCTCCACTCCCTCGTCTCCTTCATCTCCTCTCCTCGTCCTGGCACTCCTCCCTCCTTCTTTCCACCCTCCTCCATGCTCCCCTACTTCCCCTGCTCCCGTCTCCACCCTCCCTCCTCCCTCCTCTCCCTACTTCTCCCTCCTTCTCCCCTGCCCCATCCACCCCCCCCATTCCTTCTCTCCCCTCCCTCTGCCTCCCTCCTTTCCGCCTCCCTTCTCCCTCCTCCTCCCCTGCCCTCCCCCCGATCCTCCTTCGCCCGACTCGTGCATCAGATCGGGAGCGGCCCGAGGGCGATCCAAGGGCCCCGACCAGCGGAGGCGCCGGCGCTGCTGACATCTGCACCGGCCGGGCCCGGCTGGCGCCAGGATCTCAGGATCGGCATGGGGCCGCGGATCGGAGCGTGCGGGCTCCGGCCCGGGACGGAGCCGCCCGAGTCGGGAATGTCTGGCCGCGGATTTCTGAGGTGAACATCGAGGGGGGGGACGTGCTGGTGGCAGACAGGGACCTGGGGGGGAGCGTAACCCAGAAGAGAGGGAGGCGATACCGATCCCGCCGCGTACCCGTCCCTGGTCGCTTCGGTTGCATTCCCCTTGAAATATTGGTCAGACTGCATCATTGGAGAGGTCCCGGGAGTAGAGGTACCTGCGCCTTCTTGTCCCCGCAGGCATCGGCACGACGGTCCTCGTATAATGCTCCGTGGGGGAGGAACTGTGAGCATCGAGGAGGGAGGGAGGGAGGAGGGATGGAGGGAAGGGAGGGAAGGGAGGGGAGGGGACGGGGGGGGCGAGTTGGAGGAGGGAGGGAGGGAGGGAGGGAGGAAGGGAGGGAGGAGGAGAAGGAGGAGGAGGAGGAGGATGAGGAGGAGGAGGAGGAGGAGGAGGAGGGGGGGAGGAGGAGAAGGCCGAGGAGGCGGGGAAGGAGGGGTTAGGAGGAGGAGGAGGAGGAGGAGGAGGCGAGGAGGGGGAGGAGGAGGAGGAGGAGGAGGAGGAGGAGGAGGAGGAGGAGGAGGAGGAGGAGGGGAGGAGGAGGAGGAGGAGGAGGAGGGGGGGAGGAGAGGAGGAGAAAAGAGGAGGAGGAGGAGGAGGAGGAGGAGGAGAGGAGGAGGAGGAGGCGGAGGAGGAGGAGGAGTAGGAGGAGGAGGAGGAGGAGGAGGAGGAGGAGGAGGAGGAGGGAGGAGGAGGAGGAGGAGTGATGATGATACTGATGCTGCTGTGATGAGCGATGGTGATGATGATGGATGCGATGATGATGATGATGATGATGATGATGATGATGATGATGCTGATGCTGATGCTGATGCTGATGCTGCTGATGATGATGATGATGAGCTGATGGGGAGGATGATGATGCTGCTGATGCTGCTGATGATGATGATGAGCTGCTGATGCTGATGCTGCTGATGATGATGCTGCTGAGTGGGATGATGAGGATGAGGATGATGAGGATGAGGATGATGACGATGACGATGACGATGCTGATGCTGATGCTGATGATGATGATGATGATGACGATGCTAATGATGATGATGATGATGATGATGATGATGATGATGATGATGATGATGATGATGATGATGTGATGATGATGATGATGATGATGATGATGATGATGATGATGATGATGATGTGGTGGTGGTGGTGGTGGTGGTGGTGGTGGTGGTTGGTGAGGAGGAGGAGGAGGAGGAGGAGGAGGAGGAGATGGGGAGGAGGGAGGCGGAGGAGGAGGAGAAAAGGAGGAGGAGGAGGAGGAGGAGGAAGAGGACGAGGGAGGAGGAGGGAGGAGGGGAGGGAAGAGGACGAGGGGAGTACAAGGAGGAGGGGAAGGAGAGGATGAGGGGGAGGAGGAAGGAGGAGGAGGAGGAGGAGGAGGGAGAGGAGGGAGGAGGAGGAGGAGGAGGAGGAGGAGGGGATGAGGAGGATGAGGAGGAGGAGGAGGAGGAGGAGGCTGGAGGAGGAGGAGGAGCAGAGGAGCAGGAGGAGGGGGAAGGGAGAGGATGAGGTGATGGGATGAGGATGGGGATGAGGAGAGGAGGAGGAGGAGGGGGGAGGAGGGAGGGACAGGAGGAGGAGGGACAGGATGAGGAGGAGGATGAGCAGGAGGGGGAGGAGTAGGAGTAGGAGGAGGGGAGGAGGAGGAGGAGGAGGATGAGGAGGAGGGGGAAGGAGGAGGAGGATGAGGAGGAGGAGGAGGAGGAGGAGGAGAGGAGGAGGAGGAGCAGGGAGGAGGGAGGAGAGAAGGGGATGAGGAGGGGAGGGGGATGGGGAGGAAGAGGATGAGGATGAGGAGGATGAGGATGAGGAAGGATGAGGATGAGGATGAGGATGAGGACGAGGAGGAGGAGGAGTTGGAGGAGGAGGGAGGAGGAGGAGGAGGAGGAGGATGGGCTGACAGGGGCCAGCGATCCGCATCTACCGTTCCTACCCCCCTCCTCTTCCGATCGCCCACCTAGAAGCATTACGACGTACCACACACTTGTTGTTGCGCCTGCCTCTCACCCTTCACTTCGAAAGGAGACGGTATTGGTAGGCATATCTCAGCGCACGAACGAGGCGGGTGCCAATAAGTTGGCGGAGTTCCTTTTTCAGAAGACGCCTGTAACCCGCGTGGTGAAGGTCTTCATCCCGAAGCAGCGCGCGTTTATGCACCTGGATACGCTCTTCACGTTTGTCAACAAGAGGGTTGTCCTCACCATGCCGTATTTCTGGTCCAAGCCGCAGGTGTACGCAGAAGTCGCAAGGCGCGTGAACACGCTGAACGAGAAAATGGGATCTGATTCGAGGCAGGCTGCAGAGGACTGGGTGAACGAGCCTCCGCGGATAGAGGTCCTGGAGAAGCTCGAGGACGGAAGGACAAAGACCAGGACGTATAACCAGGCCATGGCGGGGTTGCAGGCCGAGGGCATCATAGAGAAGGCTCGGAGGAGAAGCCACGCCACAGACAAACGTTTGGCATTCCGCGCGGATGTCTTAGATCCGCGCTGGGATGTGTTAGCGCTCCGCGCGGATGACGGGAAGCGTCTTCGAGGTACGAAACACGAGCTGGACGTTGAGGCTGAATCTGCAACATATCTAATCACGGGAGGCGCCTTCTCGGAACAAGAAGGTAATGAGAGTTTGTTAGGCCATGCTTTCTGCTCGCTAGTTAAAACTAAGACGCGAGGGACAACTGCCTCGCAGAACAAGCAGGAGCGCGGCAGAGCACACAGGAGCACCGCAGCACACACAGGAGCACGGCAAAACACAGAGGTGCACGGCAGAATTGACGGCAGAACATGCAGGAGCACGGCAGATCACATAGGAGCACGGCAGAACACGCAGGATCACGAAGAGCATGGCAGAACCCACAGAGTACATAGCAGCAGGGCAGAACACACAGGAGCATGGCAGAACACACAGGAGCGCGGCAGATCACACAAAACACATAGGGACACGGCAGAACAAGCAGCAGCACGGCAGAACACACAGGAGCACGGGAACACATAGGAGCACGGCAGAACACTTAGGAGCTTGGCAGAGCAGGACCATGGCAGAATACGCAGAAGCACGGCAGACCACGCAGGGGCACGGCAGAACATGCAGCAGCACGGCAGAACACGCAGCAGCACGGTTGAGCACACAGAACATCTATTCACACAGCCGCACCCACAGGCACACGCACATAGTCACACGCACACATGCACACGCACACGCACACGCACACGTACACACAGATACATAAACACACGCGCACACACACACACACACGCACACAGAGAGGCAACATACGTTCACGCAGACCGCAGGAGCACGGCAGATCAGCACGGCATAACACAGCAATGCCGCAGACCACCACGGACGGACACACATGTACATATTCCACGCACGCACGCGCACGCACGCACGCCACGGCATACCTGCGCGGCAGACCAACAAAAGACCATACATCACATATCTAGTGGACAAAACCGACGCTTCCCGTTCTTGTCCGGTCATGTTTCTTGGATTGGCGCCTGGGCCCCACTGGCGGCGCCTGTGGCGCCGCCCCTGGCGCGCTCCGCGCGCCTGGGAGGGGGGCCCAGCGCGGATCCAAGAAATCCGCGCGGGGCGCCAACAATTTATGTTTATGGCGTTTCTTTTTCTTCTAAAGGCGCTCTTCGTCTGCGGCCCCGAGGGGTCATATGCCACTGAGGAAGAGCACGTGGCGCGAGCGTTGACTGAGCAGTGGAACGACGCTGCCAACGTGTTCTGCATCGCCCCGAACACCGTCATCGCGTACAAGTGGTGCACGAGGACAGTCCAGCACCTGCAGGACAACGGCGTGGACGTGATGATGCTGGACGGGTTCGAGCTCATGAAGGGGCGCGGGGGTGCCCGCTGCATGACAATGCCGCTGCGGCGGTCTTCACACAAGCGCGCGACGGAGGTGCTGTAGCGGGCAGCCGTGAACTCCTGCCGCCGGTTTCTTTTTTGTGGTGGAGGGGGGGGCTGCTTTGGCTGCTCGTCTTTGCGATCGCGCTTCTTTACCTGCCGTGGCTGCTCGCCCGTAGTCTGCCGAGTTGCCACGGCTAGGTGCCACGCGAACTTTAGGCCAGGACACTGCGCGGGAGTGGACCGGTAATGGGGTCGGTTCTCAGTAGGCACGGAGCGGTGTTTTGTTGGGAAAGGATTCGGATGTCATCTTCATCGCAGAATCGCACCTTGCGGGGTCGCCAGCTCCCGTCCTGGTGAGATGTCACACGTTTTCGGTACCCGGGGCCCCAGAGGGATCCCTGGAGCCTGGTGGGGGCCTGAGAGGCCCAGAGCAACGAAGCACCCCAGGCCTGATTTCCCTGAGGCGCGAGCATGTTTGGGCCTCGAGGGTGTTGCGCCCCAGGCCCAGGCAGCGGTGCGTCCCAGGGGAGCCATCAGCTCCCGCCTCCGGGAGCCTGTCATGGTTCGCCTCTGGCATCCGGAGCCCGCCCGCTCGGGGACCGTGCGTCCCAGGTCCAGGCAGCGGAGCGTCCCAGGATCGTCCTGGGTGCATTCCGTGTGCGCCCGCTCGAGGAACATAACACGGCAAGCACATCAGTTCTCGGAGTTCCGCGCGGATGTTTTGGATGCGGCGTTGGGCCCCCCTGGCGGCGCCTCCGTCGCCGCCCCTGGCGCGCTCTGCGCGCCAGGAAAGGGGGCCCAGCGCCGATCCAAGAAATCCGCGCGTACCGCCAAGAAATTATTGAATCGCTTCGCTCATTCCGCCGGCCCATTTCGCATGACTGAGCCTCTTGGGGCCGCTGGGGGGCCTCTTCAGCGTCGCTTGGGGGCCTCCTGAAGGCCTCTTGGGGGCTTTTGGGGCCTCTCAGGGGCCTCTTGAGGCCGAGGGCTCGAAGTTTTGTTTTGTGTTCCCCCTTTGGGGCATCGCTTGGGGCCCTCTTGGGCCCCTCTTGGGCCGTCTTGGATGCCTCTGGGGCCGTCTTGGAGCCCTCTTGGGCCATCTTGAGGCCTTCTTGGGAGCTTCTTGGGCCCTCTTGGGGCGATCTTGGGGGCCTCTTGGGCCGTCTTGGGGCGTCGGGAAGCCGAAAAGATGGACACGCCAAAATCTGCCCAAAACCTAAGGACAAGTAATGAATTTTGCCTCTTGGGGCCCTCTGGGGAGTGCTCTTGGAGGCCTCTTGAGGCGTCTGGGGGCCATCTTGGGCGTCTTGGAACGATCGTGTGACATCTCGGAGCACTCGTGAACCATCTTGGAGGGCTCTTGGCGGCCTCGTGGCCCTTCTTGGGGCTCTCTGGAGGGCCACGGGGGCGGCGCCCAGGAGGAAAACCATCTCTGATCCCAGTCTGCTGGGGATCGCCCGGGGGTACTTTTCGTCCTGGGACCCCCAGGGGCCGCCCCGCGCGCGCGAAGTAGAAGTATTATTTAGCAGTTACCGGAGATCTTAGCACGCCTCTGGCCCGTTGGGCCGGCGAATTTGTATGTAGTTTGTTGTTCCCCAGGTCCAGGTCCGCAGAACGGAGCGTCCCAGGTCCAGACAAAGATGCGTCCCTGGATCGACCTAGGTGCATCACGTGTGCACCCGCTCGAGGATCGTGGAATGGTGCGCCCCAGGTCCAGGCAGTGGTACGCCCTAGGACCGTCGAATTTCTGTCCAGTGCGTGCCCACTGAGGGCGTTGCGTCCCGGGTCCAGGCAATGGAGCGTCCCAGGATTGTCCCAGGTGCATCCCGTGAGCCGCTGCTCGAGGATGGTGCGTCCCAGGTCGAGACATGGTGAGTCCCAGGATCTTTCGAAGTCTAATTCGACGCATCATTCACGCACTTTGTCCTATCTAGCCCTCCATGGGCGGCTGCAAATCAGCGTACCCGGCACGCATTTCGTGGCACATGGCCCCCTAGAGGCCCTCACTTGGTCACCGAAGCGGCTCCGTCTCCCAAACGGGCCCGAGACCCCCCCAAGGGAGTCCAAGATGGCACCAAGAAGCCCCAAGAGGCCCCCGAGAGCGCCCGAGAGACCCCCCCACCAAGATGGCCCGAGGCGGCTATCAGAAGCACCCGCTGGCCCTGGCATTCACTTCAGATTCGCACTGGACTGTGAACGTCTTTCTGCTGGTGTGCTTTGCTGGAATGACCTCTGCACCCCACTTCGCAACGGATGCGCCCCGCCGTCTGCTCGCCCGCTTCTTTGCCCCAGCCCGCCGCCAACCACAAAAAGTATGCCCACCTGCGCTGCCGTGCGCATCCGCCACCGCGCATGGGAAGCTCGCGCGCAGATCGTCTGACTGTTGCGCGTGCGGGGGCACGGCTCCGTGGCCGAACAGGAGGCCCCTCTCTCGGGTCCTCTGCGGGGCCGTTCCGGAGCCCGCTTGGCTCTCTTGTGGCTTTCCTCTGGGCCTCCAGGGGCCAACTTGTCGTCCGTTGGGAGGTCTGCACATCGCTGCGTTTCGGATCAGTCTGGGAGTGTGCCGTCTTGTAGGCCATCTGGGAGCCTCTCGGCACATATTGGGTGTCTCCTGGGTGCCTGGGAGTTTTTGTTGGAGGCCTTTGGGGCCTTCTCGGAGGCCTCTCGAGTACATCTCTGAACCATCTGAAGCCAAGTGAGATCCATCTTGGAGCCTCTTGTGGCATCCTAGGGTCATCTTGGGGCTTGTTGGGTTCATTCCATAGCCAGCGTTGGACATCCTGGGCCATCTCGGGGCGAGTTTGGGACATCTCGAACCGTACAGAGGAACCATATTGGGGCCATTTGTGGCCATCGGCGGAGCTCGGGTGACTGGTAAACAGGGCCCGAGCACTCCGCCGTACAGCTTTGCATTCCACCATGGTCCTGCGGCATGGTTGCCCGCCGACGCCCTGGCTCGAGTTGGACAACCGTCAGGCGTTTGCGGTGTCTCCTCTCGCGCCTGTTCTCGCAGGCGAATTACCGACGCCAATCTTCGAACCCCGCCCGGAAGATTCATCCCCACAGCAAAGAGGGAAATTCGGGGATACACCCCCGCTGGGTTATTCGGACGCGCTCTTCTTGAGGATTGACGCCCCCGTTCGTGCATTCCTGAGTTTGGAGATTCCTGGTCTATGTGAAGACCCACAACGGCAGGGAATTAGGTCGCCATACCCCCTGTCACCTTCCCCGCAGTCTTCCCCGCTCTGTCCTCTAATCCAAACACGCTCTACTCGTCGTGGGCGCGGTGGCAGACATCATAGCGCACTTCCGCAAAACACGTGCGCACATAGATCTGTGAAGCCTTGCTGGTCCGAGGTTCTGAGCCACACGCTCTCAACATATCTCTCTCCTGGTGCCGCGTCCTCCAGACTGCAACACGAGTGGCTCATGAGCGTTGTTTTTGGTGGTTGTTCTGGCCGGGGGGATGCGCTTGGACGTCTGGTGGCTGCAAAGGTGATCCATTAGAAGGGCTGCTTGGAATCGGTGGGCGCACGCAGTTCAGCCAAGCTATGACACATTGCGCTTACGGGGTCAGGGTCAGTTTTTTGTTTCGAACTCTCGGGTGACTGTGACTCTGGGCAAGCGGAAGGGGTTCGTAAGCTGTCCTGAAGATTGGTGCCACCTCAGGCTCTGAGTATGGGAGAACGTGTAATTGCCCCTGCTGGGCCCTAAGCGAGCACTATTGTTGTGGCGAATGTTGCCAACCAGTGGGTGCACAGCATTGTCTGCGCCTGCCAGGACCAAGACCTAGTGCGATTCAACGTTGGCCCAGCCGCAGACCATGCCGAAGCGAAGGCACATATGCCGTATGGAGGGGGCAGGCTTACATGCATTGCACGTCTTCACGGTTCAGCTCGATATGTGCTTGTTGTGTAGGTAGTTTGCACCCAGCTCCTCGGAGCTTTCCCCCTTCATCCGCTCATCCCCTTCCACCTCTGCATGTGCTTCTCCAGGATATTGGCTGGTGTGCACATCCCATGTAGATTGCATGCTTGGGGGAAGTTGTGAGGAAGAGCGGGGGCAGGGCCAGCACACTGCATGACGCGATGCCGAGGCTGGGGAAGGGCGAGGCGGGGGCAGACGAACGCCGAACACGCGACGGGTGGGCCGATGTGTCCTGGTTACACGCATTCTCTTCCCTCCTCGTCCGCCCTCACTCCTTACCCCAGCCCCCTCCACACTCCATTATGTCATCCCCCATTCCATCTCTCATCATCCTCCCTCCTCCCCCTCCTTCCCCCCCAATCCTTCCAGTCCTCCCCGCTCGCCACCCGCCCTCCTCCAACGTGAACGAGGAGAGTCGAGAGTCGAGAGGTTGTGAGGAGGATGCCCAGGAGGAGGCGGACGGTGGAAAAAGGTGGAGGGGGAGCAGCATCAGGATGATGAATAGACAGCGGCGGAGGGGGACAAGGACATGGACGATGGAGATGCGGACCCTGAGGAGAAACGTGGAGTGGGGTAGGATGAGGGTGCAGGACGGCGGGGGAGAACATGGGAAAACAGGGGAGGGACGACGCAGGAGACAGGACGAATGATGGAGGAGAAGGGCATTGGATGAGGGCGTAGTGGCATGGACAGGAAACGGTAGCGAGGATGACCAGGGGAGAAGAGGGAGGAACTATTGGGAGGGAGGTGGGATTATGCATGAAGGGGAATGAAGGAGGGGCTACAACATGGGATACCAACAGAGGATACTGGTGATGACGCTGATGATGCCGATGGTGATGATGATGCTGCTGGTGATGATGATAACGACGATGGCGATGACGATACCGATGCTGATGCTGATAAGGATGATACTGATGATGCTGAGGGGGGGAGGATGATCAGGATCGGCACCAGGGTCATGATACTGATGAGGGTGATGCTGGGGATGCTGATGATGATGATGAATATGATCATGCTGATGATGATGATGACGACCATGATGATGATGTTGATGATGATGCTGATGATGGTGATGATGAAGATGATGCTGATGCTGATGGCAATGATGGTGGCTATGCTGCTGATGGTGGTGGTGATGATGGTGCTGATCGTGAGGATGATGATGGTGATGACGATGGTGATGCTGATGATGCTGGTGATGTTCATGGTGGTTGTGCTGCTGATGATGATGATCTGATGTTGGTGAGGATGGTGGTGATGATGATGAAGCTGATGATGATGAGGGCACGATTATGATGAGAAGGAAGAGGAAGGGCTAGAGCGGGGTGTGGAGCAGCAACTGGAGCAGCAAGGCGAGGGAGTGGACGGGAGCACGAGGAGGGAGGCGAAGGATGATATGGAGAGGAGGAGATGGGACAGGAGAACGGGGAGAGCAGAGTTGAAGGATGCACGTGGCGAAGGGAGGACGGAGTAATGCGATGGGGCCTACGTTGACGAGGGGGAGAAGAATGAGGAGGAGTAGGAGGACAACGAGGAGAATGCGGAAGAGGACGAAGGGGGAGAAGGATAAGGAGGAGTAGTAGGACGAAGAGGACGATATTATGAGGAGGAGCGGGGCGAGGGAGGAGCAGGACAAGGATGAGGATGAGCAGGAGAAGGGGAATGAGGGAATCATCACGACGAGGAGGGTGAGGCAGGAACGCACAGGGAACGGCTGCGCGATGTCGTCTTAATTCTCTCCAGCTGATGTCATGTCATACGAAGATAGGCACGGCGATCGGAAGCTGCGCATTTGGCTCCATCGATCGACAGGTCGGGGATGGAAGGAGTCCCGTGGCCGCTGGGGCTCGACGCTTTGGCCCTGGCCTGTCTCCGTCGGCGGGCAACAGTTCCGTGGACTGCACTGTCTACAGGGGTAGCTCTGGCGCGTCTGCGACGGAGACGCACTCGGCTTCTACCACGGGCGCGGTGCACGCGGCGCTGCCCCTCCGTGCGTCTCGGCGACGTCCCCCGGGCAGAGGGGCGAGGCGTCACTCACTGCAGCGGTGCCTCCCTCCTCCTCCTCCTCCTCCCTCCTCCTCCTCCTCCTCCTCCTCCTCCTCCTCCTCCTCCTCCTCCTCCTCCTCCTCCTCCTCCTCACTCCTCCCTCTCCTCCTCCTCCTCCTCTCCTCCTCCTCCTCCTCCTCCTCCTCCTCCTCCTCCTCCTCCTCCCCCTCGTCCTCCTCCTCCTCCTCGGCCTCCGGTAGCGCTTGCGTTGCCCCCGTACAGCTCAAGTGCACCACGGGCTTCGTCACGCTTCCGGGGGTGCCAGATTCCGTGAACGAGGCAGAGGGCAGGGCATCGAGAGCGGTCCCGTGAACGATACCGTGAACGGGACAGGTCGCGGGTCAAGCGGCACGTTTGCCGCCCGACGCAGATCCCGGGCCAGCTTTCATATGTTTGGCAGGGCACCGTCTGTCATATGCGCTCCAACTGCCTGCCGACCTTTAACTTTGCGGGGGTGTTGCCTGATCGTCGGGTCGTGCACACCCCTGCGTGCGGCATGGTTTTGAGCAGGGTGGTTGCGAGGCAAGGGCATCCGCATCCTGATAACCCGTGGATGCTCAGGGATGCTGGTCAGGGGTGGAACTTGCTGCCTTTCTTGTCATCCTGGTTCGCGACCACCGAGGGCGTTCGCGGCACCGAGGGACCTCAATCCACAGCGCGCGCCTGAGCAGCGTAAGGCCTTGCAGCCTTCCGCACCCGTAGCAGATGCTAGACGTTGGTCGGGTATGTGGGGTAGCCTCATGCCTTGCCAGCGGCGGAGGCGGCGCGAGGAGTGCGTCGATGGACCTGCCCGTGACTGTGCCCCCCCCCCCCAGAGTGTGCCGTTGCTTGGCCCAGCGCCGCTGCCCATCCCTGGGCCGCCGCCAAGACGCCAGTGGAAGAGCAGCAGGTCGCAGGCGATTTGTCTCCCCATCCCAAGGCTTTTCGACGAAAAACGAAGCCGCTCAGGAAAGGGGGAAACCCTTGGCACCCCAAGGCCCCCAAGAGGTCTATTCGGATGATGGACGCCCCACCATCGTATATCCCAGGGTTGAGCTCCGAATGTTTGGCCCGTTCGAGAGCTCCACGAAACCTTGGACGAGGCTCGACCTCTCTCCTGCCAGCAGGTGCCCGCGACGCGCGCTGGAGCACGACCGCTGGCCGAGAGCGCTCGGAGAGAGGCCAGCGCGGGAGCATCCGCGCGGAGCGCTCGGAGTGGCCGTGCGCTCGCTGCGTCCTGGCAGGAGGCGAGGCGCGGTGAGCAGACTGGGCCTCCTCGGGCCTCGCGCTCGAGGCACTGCCCGAGCAGTGGCTGCCAGTCGGTATCGTTTAACCGATCCCCATCCCCATCTCCATCCCCTTTGAGACCCCCGCCGGATTACCACCCCAGTTGGGGATACACCTGTCGAAACCCGAAGGGAACGGCCTATATCCCCATCTAGGAGGGTAAAGCGGCCAGCGGGGCCCAGGCCACGCCGCTGGGGATGGGGATCGGTTAAACGATACTCAGCCAGAGCAGGTGCGGGCGTGCCCGAACTCGCGGCGCTTGCGGCGCGGCGCACAGCGCAGCTCCCCAGGGTGGCCCACCGAGTCGGGCGACGCCTCTGGGCGCTGGCGTCCGCGCTGGTCGCCCGAGCCGGCTCGTCAAAAAAGCGGGATCACGGGCCAGGCACGCACGGCGTGAGGCGTTGGCCGGAATCGACCGACGGCCGCCGTTGCTTCCTCGGCCCTCGCCGTCGGGCTCGTGTTGCTTCGGTGACAACAGGCTCCGGAGTCTCGGCATGAAGTAAGCTGGCCAGCACTGGCAGGGGTTGGGTCACGGCTCGCCAGAACTGGGAGGCACGCGCGGAGGGCACAGAGCACAGGGTACCTGGTCCGCGCTGGGCCTGACGGACGCTCCCACGCGTCACGCCTTCAGGGTGCATTCGCCAGCCTGTTCCTGCTGAGGGTCGCCCAACGGAGGGCCGACTTGCCTTCCAGTGGAAGGCGGAGGCGACTTCTTCGCTCCTCCGAGCCCACCGCCCTCAGGAGGCGGCGACTTCGTGCGCCAGGCTGTGCCCCTGTCGCGCCTGCGTCGCGCCGAGGGCGCTTGGCGCAAGCTCTGTGCTCTCTCCTCGCGAACCTGGCGCTCGGAGCGCCCTCCGGCTGGCCGTAGTGGCGGCGCCCAGTGTGGCGGGTGCCGCGGCCTTCGCTCCGCCCACTGGGGCCTCCGACGCTGTGCTCCGTGTCCGACGCCTGGGCCCCACACCTCCCGACGCCTGGCCGAGGGTCGACCAGAGAGGCGTGCCGCTGCGTGGCGCCTCTCGCGCGCTGGAGGTGTGTGCGACGAGGGGCATGGCAGAAGCGTGCTCCGACGGTTCTCTGACTGCTGAAACTCTCATGCAGGAAAACCCCCGCTCACATGGAGAGAGAGAGAGAGAGAGAGAGACCTGAACACAGAGCGACAACCTAGAGAGGCAAAAAAGTGAACAAATGCTTGAGAAGATGCGTGCGCAAAGGCATACATACGAATGCTACGCACAAGCAGAGACACACCTGTCTGGAAACTCAAGCTAATCTGGAGGACGGTTCACTCCGTGGCGGATCGGCGTCGGGTGAACTCCGAACTTCTTGCAAACCTTGAGGTAAAGAAGGTCCTCCTGGCCCGTGTACTTGCCAAACAGAGTGTCTAGCTGCCCCAGTATGGCAGGGCAATGCTGGTGCGCAATATCGGAAATCCTCTGCTTGAGCTCGGCGGCGATTTCTCGGCTGGCACCGCTGTCGATCGGCACAGCAGTGCACTTCTCTACCTGGCGGGGCGGTGGGCGCGGCGAAGACGGCACGTCGAAGGAAACGGTGCGCTTCTGCACCTCGATCTCCACGAAGACCGGCCCAGGCGAAGCCTCCGGCATCTGGAAAGAAGGAGCCTCGGGGTTCAGCAGCGAAGGCGCGGAGAGCGGCTCTGGCATGCTGACGGGCGGGGCAACCTGTTGCGAGATGGCGGGCAGCCGAGGGGAAAAAGCCGGCGGCGGCTTCGGCGGCAGAACAGCAAGTCGACCAATGTAGCCCGGCTGATCCCCACCCAAAGGGTGAGGGCGGTCAAGAGCTCTGTTGTGAACGACGTCAGGTAGCTGAGCTGGACCGGAGCGGCCAAGGCCGCAGGCTTGCGCCAAGTCGCGGACGTCGGCCACGCGTGGCACGCGTCCGACTCGGGCCGCATAGCCGAGCCTCCGCACAGCGGCACGGACACTCGGCCTCGCCTGGCAAGGATCATGCCGGGCGGGGGTGTCTCGGTCGCGGTCACGACGAGCGGCGCGAGAGCTCGACGTGGCGCGCATGGGCCCGCGCCGTGATGGAGTGAGGACCTGGCTCGAGAGCAACAAATTTGCCACAATCCAAAACGCGCCGCCCGGAAATGTCTCCGACGGCTCGGGCCTGCGCGCTGGAGGAGGGAGGAGGGAGGCGGGGAGCATGTCGAGGCTGCGGGCCTTCGATCTCGAGCCTCCGAGATCTGGCACTCTGGACGTCGCCGGCCTCCGCGTCTGGCCTCCGCGGGCCTCCGGCGACCTCCCAAGGGGCCCGCTCGCCCGCCGGATGGGGGGGTGCAGCGGGAGCAATGAGCAATGAGCAGGGGGAGGAGCGGTACAGTCAACCCGCACAGTAAGGATAGGCAGCCTTCCCAAGGGCACCCTTGCATCCTTGCCTCCCTGGTCCCTCCTTTGCTGGCCGCGCCCCGCTCGAAGAGCTTCGAAATGGGCGTCCAGGGCTCCTGTATCCTCATCGCGCATCCTTCCTATGCTGGTTGACTGTAGCAGCAGAAGCAGGGGGCAGGAGGGAGGAGCACGAGGAGAGAGGAGAGAGGAGGACGGGGAGGCCCGAAGAGCGAAGATGGGGCGGCCGCGAGCGGCGGGCGTGTTCGTGCCCGCGCCCTCGCGAGCGGTCTGGATCTCCGGGGCGCGATCCCGCGGATGCGCGCGGATGCACGCGCGAAAAAAAGCCCCGCATCCGCGGGGCCGGGGATACGGATCGCCCACTGGGTGGAGATGGGGAAAAAGCATGAGGAGGAAGCCAAGGAGAAGGCGGAGGCGGATAGTGGTGGTGGTGGTGGTGGTGATCATGTGATCATGATACTGATAGTCTTAATGATGCTGATGCTGATGCTGATGCTGATGCTGATGATGACGATGATGATGATGATGATGATGATGATGATGGTGATGGTGATGGTGATGGTGATGGTGAAGGTGATGATGATGATGATGATGATGCTGATGCTGATGCTGATGATGATGATGATGATGGCGATGATGATGATGATGAGGAGGAGGATGAGGATGAGGATGAGGATGATGATGACGATGCTGGTGCTGATGCTGATGCTGATGCTAACTATGATGCTGATGATGGTGATGGTGATGGTGATGGTGATGGTGATGGTGATGGTGATGGTGATGGTGGTGCTGCTGCTGCTGATGATGATGATGATGGTGATAATGGTGATGGTGATGGTGATGGTGAATGCGATGCTGGTGATGGTGGTGGCGATGGTGATTGTGATGCCGAGGAAGAGGGTGATGATGAGGATGATGGCGATGATGGTGGTGGTGATGTTTGCGCTGCTGATGTTGATGGTGATGGTGAAACTGATGACGACGATGATGATGATGATGATGAGGAGGAGGAGGAGGTGGTGGTGGATGATGGTGATGCTGTCAAAGACGATGATGCTGCTGATGATGATGGTGCTGTTGGGGATGGTGATGATTGTGATGGTACTGGTGATGATGATGATGATGATGATGCTGATGATAACGATGCGGCTGCTGCTGCTGACGATGGCGATGATGATGATGGTGTGGATGACGATGCGGATGAATATGCTGCTGATGATGCTGGTGATGATGATGCTGATGATGATGATGATGATGATGATGATGATGATGATGGTGATACTGATGTTAGCGATAGTGATGATAGTGATGATGATGCTGATGATGATGATCGTGATGATGATGATGATGATGAGGATGATGATGATGATGATGCTGATGCTGGTGACGATGGGGATGATGATGTGGATGATGTGTCTTGAGGGTGTTCAGGGGAGTTTGAGGTGAATGGTGAAGAACAGAGGTGAAGGATGAGTTGAAGGATGAGGAAGAAGGATGATCCTGCGGAGGTGAACGATGAGTAAGAGAGTGGTAGACTACTGGGGGATGGAGGAGGTGGGCGCGTACAATCTCAGCAGAGAGAGCGTGCTTCTCGGAGCGGGGCGTTGCGGGCTGCTCACTGCGGCGGGTCTTGCCCCGCTCCCTCTATCCTCTCTCTCTCTCTGTGCACTGGACGGGGCTGTCCCTCCCCTCTCCTCCCCCCCTTCTCCCCTCCTTCCCCCTTCTCCGCTCCTCCCCCCCTCCTCCCCCCTCCCCCCCTCCCCCCCTCCCCCCCTCCCCCCCCGCCCCTCCCCCCCTCCCCCCCCTCCCCTCCCCCCCCCCCCTCCCCCCTCCCCCCCTCCCCCCCCTTCGCCCCCCTGTTCCCCTCTTCATACCGGGGAGGAAATTATCCCAGTGCGACCCTACCTAGGAGTTGGAGCATCTAGGAAAGCAACATATACATCTACACCGACAGCTACAGTAACATCTACACCTGCATCTACATCTACATCAACATCAACAGCGAGACTCACATCTACATCTACACCTACATCTACACCTACATTTACATCTACATCTACACCTACATCCACATCTACACCTACACCTACATCTACATGTACAGCTACACATTCGCATTGGTTTTGTTTTTTCTTTGCATTGCCTTGCCTTTGCTTGTGCTGTTGCTGTTGCTGTTGCCTTTTTCTTTGCTTTCGGTGTTGCCTGTGCTATGCTATGCTATGCTGCGCTATGCAATGCTGCGCTATGCTATTATATGCTATGATATACTATGTGATGCGATGCGATGCGATGCTAATGCTGCGCTAAGCTGAGCTAAGCTCAGCGAAGCTACGCTAGGCCATGCTAAGCTAAGCTAAGCTAAGCTAAGCTAAGCTAAGCTGTGGTATGCTAAGCTAAGCTAAGTTCAGCTAGGCTAAGCTAAGATGAGCGAAGCAACGCTAAGCTAAGGGGACGTAACTGGGGGAACCGCGGGGCGGATACTGGGGGAACCGCCCGGGGCGCTTTCCACTGCCCGGCCCCTTTAAGCCCAGAGAGTAAGAACCCTTCTAGGCAGAGCCTAGGTAGGGAATAACGACATACATAGAAACTGTTGGCACTCCGCGCGGATTTCTCGGGGGACCCAGCGCGGATCCAAGAAGCCCGCGCGGAGCGCCCATTTATTGTTTATTGCGTTTCCCCTTGTCTCTATCATCGTTCACTTGTTCATTTCAGGGTTCAGGGCGTTGCTTTTCGATCGCGCGATCACGGGGCACCACCAAGCGACGGGAGCGATGATAGCAGGGCGTTCCGCGGCAGCAACATTGGCTAAACTCATCGCATCTCCCCTCCTCATTGCTCCTCTTCTCCTTCCTCCTCTCCGTTCTCCCCCTTCTCGTCCTCACCCGCCCCTCCTCCCGTGACAGAGGGAAGTGGTGGCTGGCCGCTTCTCTCCCGGTTCCTCGGGCGCCGCCGCCACGGCAGGCCGCGGCGTACGTCGCCGAGCAGCACAAGCAGCGCAAATTCACCGACACAGGCCCTCGCCTGCAGGGCGCGCGTCCAGGTGGGAGACCTGTCCCTCCTCCTCCTCCTCCTTTTCCTCCTCCTCCTCCTCCTCCTCCTCCTCCTCCTCCTGCCTCCCCCTCCTCCTCCTCCTCCCTCCTCCTCCTCCTCCTCCCTCCTCCTCCTCCTCCTTCCTCCTCCCTCCTCCTCCTCCTCCCCCTCCTCCTCCCCGGGGCCGCGGCCCCGAGGAGGCGGGGCGCTCTCTTCGCGCCGGCCACGGGCGGGGCGCCTCCGTGCGACCGCGTGCCCGCGGCAGCGAGCCCCGGGACATCCGGGCCACGAGGGCGCGGGCACGGATGGTGTTCGCCGCTCGCGGCGCCAGCAGCGCTGCGCAAAAGGCCCGGTGCGGTGGCGGAGGCGCGGCGGGAGCGACGCGCCAATGCACGCGCAGGGCATGGCGTGCCGCCGGGGCTGGCGCGGCGACGCGCTGAGCGAAAGCCCCCGACGGTGCCGACAAAAGCATCAGCACTCCTCAAACCACCCCAACCCAACCCGGAGGCCTCAATGTGCCCTCCATTTCCAGTGGGGGGGCCGGTCGGGGAACATTGTAAAAACACATGGAGCCCGTACCCCCCCCCGAATCTGAAATTCAGGTCAAATTCGGGTCTTCGGGTTTGCTTGGCGTGGTCTGGTAGGTGGTCAAAACTGATCTCTTGGATCGGCGCTGGGCCCCCTCCGTGGCGCGCGGAGAGCGCCCGCCCCCGCCGGGGAGTTCCAGCGCCGATCCGAGGGATCGGGGCGGACCTCCAAAAGCTTTGGGAATGATTACGACTACTACTATTATTACTACTACTACTACTACTACTACTACTACTACTACTACTACTACTACTACTACTACTACTGCTGCTGCTGCTGCTGCTGCTACTACTACTACTACTACTACTATAACAGCTACTACTACTACTACTACTACTACTACTACCACCACTAGTAATACTATTGCGGCTACGACTACTACCACCACTACTACTACTACTACTACTACCACCACTACTACTACTACTACTACTACT